AAGCGTGCCACTTGCCACTACACCACTTCGGCCCGCATAAATAAATAAGTTAAATAAATAAGTAAAATATCATGGATTTCGCGAGCGTACAATGGAAACTGCGAAATTGTATCTGCTGTTGCTTTTTCTTGTAAGATTAGTCGAGTTTTGATGGTTTCAGTCATAGGGGTCAGATAGGTTGTCCGTAAACACAGAATTTCAGCCAGTACATTAGAGGGCGGAAGTGGTGTAGTGGCAAGTGGCACGCTTACCACGCGAGCGGTCCGGGGATCAAATCCTGGGTCGTGAGTCGCCCGGGCCAACCAAGCCTTCCATCCCTCCGGGGTCGGTTAATTGGTACCAGACTTGTCTGGGAGGATAAAAACACTGACTTGTACATCGGCTGGCCCCGCAAGTCATTGTATAGGCCACATCGCATTCAAACGCCACTAATGTACAAATGGAAGTAGAATGCGTGCCGCATCCCAAAAAGGGATTGATCAACGGCAAATGCTTTATCCTTTATCTTATTTTATCGGGTGGATTCAGTAATACAATTTCTTGACCGCTTAGGCCATTTAATATAGAAGATGGTGAGTTTGTTCGGTGTTGATTAAAATTCTATAAAATTACCATAGGTGTTCAGAAAGTACTACCTCAATTTGGACGAGATTTTTGGTTGGACATTCCTTTGTTAGGGCAAAACATTCTATAGACTTGAGTGTCATCGTTAGCAGATGGGAGAACCTGACTTGAACCAAGAGTTACTCTTTCGATATTATTATTCTGACTTTGACTACACTACCACGACTGCAAGCTTCAAAATTAACTAGAAAAATACAGCGAACCGGATATTTCTGAGTAGGTTTTGCCTTCAATGAACGGAAGGGCTCTGCCTTGTGAAATTCCAGGACTGAATCTCCTTTACCCTCCGAAATCAACGCTTCAAACATCAGCTCCGCTATGGCACCGGATTGTTGTTGGGAATGGCGACAGCAATCGCGGAATGCGTTCGGCTTTCGTGCACTGATTAGGCGACATTTGCCAGATACTAATGCGATTGCCGTGTGGATGCCGTGGGCGAATTCGTCGGCGAGGGTGGGATTACGGTGGCGGCTCGGTGTCTCAATCGGCAGTTTGGTTCAACTATTGGCCGATGGGTCGGCAAGTGCCGCGATAGTGATGGACAGAATTCAGTATTCACCTTTTCACCCTCTCTAGGTATAATTAAAGCTGATACAGGTATTGATCCCAGCTAGGCGCGCACCTACAAAGACGAGCAGAATTAAATCAGTTGAACCACATTCATACTATCATCGTTGGTTGAAAGGCAAGTCCCGGGATCACTCCAACTAGTAGGAAGGATACTGCGAGGGAGCTTGTAGTGTCCTTCCCTACAGAAAGCGTACCACACCCGTCGCACAAAATGCGCGGTTAGGGCGCTAATCGTTAAGGTGCTGCAACCATCGGCCCTTATTGCAACGCTTCCCACCCACCCGCCATTGATGTGGAGATCAGCGCGCTCTCGAACGGAATGCTCTCTCGCGTGTTCTGTCTTCTCTGATCGTTTTGTCTCGCCCTCGTACTACATCCGATCTTACTGGAGGTCAAGGCCTTAATTTTAGCGTTTCCGATAGTTTCTTTTTCTATTTTCGCTTCCACCCCACAAGGTCAATACCTCACTAAACTGGCACTCCTAGCACGCAGCTTTATTCCGGAGTTTGCCTCTAGCTAGTAACACTTCCGACAAAAAGCCGATGTAAACTTTCTACGAAGTATACAATACCGCTCACAGAATGTGAAAAAATGACGGTGATTGACCGTCGCACCTCAAAGACCGTCGCACTACCATAACTCCGCTGAAAGCGAATGAAACGGAAAAATTTAAACTCCTATAGATACGTCTCCTCACAACGAGTTCCAGGATGTGTTATGGGTCGGGATCGGTTAAGTAGGTCACCAGCTTTACCTTTTAAGCTGGGGCAAAATCCAATTCTGACCTCAAGGTAGAACACCATTCGTTAGATCCCATGTTTATGTGCACAGTAGTCTACCGCTCGCACACTCCTCCTTTTTTGATGCATTTTTATCCATGTTTCACAGTCGTTCCCGATGCGAACGAGCCCTTCAATTTTACGACATTTCCAAATTTTGAAAGCGTATTTCATCAAAGTCTGGAGGAAATACGACGAAACGGCTACAAGATCTTGAACTAGGTATGTAACTGCGCAACAACTTTGTTGTTTATTGGAATGCAGCAAAGCGGTTCTTACATAATTTAGCTCTGAATATCGGTATACGTCAAATTCTTCGAGCACAATCACTTTTCTTTTCTTTCCGAAATTGCGCTTAAGCGAAATGTATGACCAACGATTCGAATGGTTATTCCAAGAATATGACATATTGTGCCGTATAATGGCAATAATGGCTTATGAACAAACGTTAAGGTAAACTAGATAAGAGACAATACCTCACCCTTTGAAAAAAATTTACGGACAGAGAATACAGAACTAGTGTTGAAATTCATACAGTTGTACTCGGCGTGATGAATGCTATCCGATGATATATAAGTTATTACCCAAGACTACTTTGTTTTTACTCGTTTTTTTCCTTCGTGATCGCTAGCCAATGACCAATCGCTAGCTGACCTCGTAATTACCCTACGCTGCGAGGGTCAATGCCTCGCGGTGTTATCACTTCTCTTCGAGGTATACTCTAACTTCCAATACTGCTAAGCGTTGTTTTTCTATTCCCTCCAGTTCCACGTAGTTTGTGATATTTTAGTGAAAAGTGGTACCCTTGCACATCGTTGCCTTCGTTCTTATTGGGATTGGTGTCACACCATATTCATCTGACTTCCTTTCTTCTCGTCTTTTAACTTTTTAGACCTCATCGATCGATCCTTCTATTAACTTCCCAAATTGATTCATTTCAACATTTTGGAAATATGTATATGTATGATAAAACATAAAACATTTGGGTTTGATCTTTACTTTTTTACTCGTCCTCATCAAAATATTGTTTTCAAACGATTTTTTTGATAATCGATAAGAAACATGACGAGAGGAACTGTTGCCGTTCTTGGGCTGTAGAAAGGTTCAGTGATATTCAGCTCGTTTAGCAAGTAATATTCTTAACAACTCATCAGTTTTCATGGCTCTATATCTCAACATTGCAAAAATTTCCGAGGATAAGCATAAGGCACAACCTACTGGGAAGGTCAAATTGCCCCATCTAATGGCAATATCTCATCGATCGAGAATGGCATTACTATTATAACGGCTACCCAGGTTATCTCTTGGGTGCCACACAGTGCGAATCGTTTTGGCCCAGCTAAGCAGATTGCAAGGAGACGGCGCATCTACGTCCCAGATTAGTACCTGTTCCACCTAAAGCTGCGCTCCCTTAAACTTATGTTCACTTGCACAGCAAAGAGAAGCGCTACTACGGTTAAGAAATTTTCTCAGATGAGTTTAAATATGATTCGATTCGTTGTTTTAAGTGAGCAATATGTTACATAGGAAAGTTATTAATAGCACTTATGAAGTTCTCTGTTTCACTTAGCCGAAACTTTGCCTTTATAATCTTGCTTTCATGACGCGGCAAGGTTTGCTAAGAAAGATGGGTCAGGTCGAGTGGAAGACGCAGCGTATACTGATCGGGTCAGTATCAATGCATTCCTAGGCCCTGGCCCTTTGTGGCACCATTAGGCTGAAACATGTTAAGTCCAATATTGAACCAAGACAGGTGAAAATTGGGAAAACGAGAGAATCGGGGATAAAGCGTACAGTGGTAATCGCTCCTTCCACGGAATGCGCCGCAAATACCACTTCAATTCAGAATTTTGGCAGCAATCGAAAGTGTTCCAGTCTATGCTTCCGACTGGCGTATATATAGCCCAGTGCCGAATAATTTATTTTCCTAAACGAGGAAAATAAATAAATTAGCAGGTTTTGGCCAACCTAGATGGTTTGATTCTGGATTTGACCATCGAACCGTGACTATGGCAAGAAGAACACATTGATACAGTAGCTGACTTGGGAGTGGGGGGGGGTCAGGATTGAAAATAATGACTTTCACAACGGCTGGCTTCGCAATTTGCTGTATAGGTATAATTTTCAGCCATATAAGGGGACAAATGAAGGAGAAGATTATAGTATGGGAAAAGGGGTTCAGAGGAGAAAGAGCACCTGAGAGAAGTTCCAGAGGAGAATTAGCTCACAAAGACACACACCGCGAAAGTAAGAGTGAATCAGCGATTCTTGGATCGCACGTTCGATTGTTTTATAAAATAGAACAAGCCAAGGCTGAAATAGTATACCTGTGGGCCCACGAAAATTTCTATAGGAATGGCGTCTTGCTCTGTAGTAAGTCAGCATCTATGTAGAGAGTTTAGTAGGTAATTTGGAAAAGTTCCCTTAACCTCGTAGGGTGGAGCATTAACAGGTCACTTCTTTCCAGGTAGGCCATGCATATGATTTCTAGTCATTGCTTTGATTCTGAATCTTACTAGGTATGCGCAATGCATTTGAAGTCTAGTCATAAATAGCATCGAGTCTTAATAGCTCGACGCGCTGCCTGATAGAGGCACGAAGAGAAAAGAAGTCGGATGAACATGGTGTGGCACCAATCTACATAAGAGCGAGGGCAACGAGGTGCAAGGGAATCACTTTTCACTCAAATATCCCAAACTACGTGGAACTGGAGGGAATCCAGAAAAACAACGCTTAGCAGTATTGGAAGTTAGAGTATACCTCGAAGAGAAGTGATAACACCGCGAGGCATTGACCCTCGCAGCGTAGGGTAATTACGAGGTCAGCTAGCGATTGGTCATTGGCTAGCGATCACGAAGGAAAAAACGAGTAAAAACAAAGTAGTCTAGGATAATAACTTGTATATTATCGAGTAGCATTTATCGCGCTAAGTGCAACTGTATGAGTTGCAACACTATTTCTTTACTATCTGTCCATGAAAACTTCTCCAAAGGTGGGAGTACTGCCTGTTGTCTCACTCAAGCAGATGCCTTCCCATGGACAAATATGCCATTCTACGGAACAACATGACATGCTCTTGCGAACATCATTTAATTCTTCGATCATACACTTCGCTCAAGTGCAATTTTGAAAGGAACAGAAAAAAGGAAATTGTTCTTATCCGAATAGAAGTAACATTGCCATGTGACGTACACCCGATATTTAGAGCGATATTACGGAAGAACCGCTCAGCTGCATTCCAGTAAATGGCCAAATTCTTGCGCAGTTGCATACGAAGCTTTATACATTCCAGCCGCTTCGTCGCAGTCCCTCCAGAATTTGAAGAAAAAATCTTCTAAAATTTATAAATTTCATAATATTGAAGAGCTCGTTCCCATCGGGAATGACTTCGAAGCACGGGTAAAAGCATCAAAAAATTACGTGCGTGTGGCCGATAGGCGCTGGACACATAGACATGGGATTCACACGTATGGTGTCCAACCTTTAGGTCAGAATTGAATTTCGCCCCAGCTTAGAAAGGTAAAGCTGGTGACCTACTTAACCGATCCCGACCCATAACACATCCTGGAACTCGTTGTGAGGAGACGTATCTATAGGAGTTTAAATTTTTCCGTTTCATTCGCTTTCAGCGGAGTTATGGTAGTGCGACGGTCTTTGATAGGTGCGACTGTCAAGACGTCTTCACATCGGACTGTAGCAATCACAGTCATATTATTGACACATTCTGTGAGCGGTCTTGGTAGATACTGACTATGCACTAGTTTTGACACAGCGTGTCCGATAGAGAAAGTCTGAATACGTCTATGCCACATTTCTCGACGACTCGTATGAGCTTCCTACCATACAACACGAAAGAAGCGGTAACCAATTTCCGTGGATAAATCTTGCATGAATATAGGTCGGGTAGCAAGGCACTATGTGAGTTATGATTTTTAATGAGAGAGTACAAATTAGAATTGGTGCTCTTCAGCGCCATCGAATACAAGTTGAGCTCATTCGATTTGGATTTATTGGAAAGTGCAACTTAATTCTGTTTTAGAAAGGAAAGTAAGAGTGACTCTTTTGAGCCCACACTACACTGCCTTAGATATAATCGATTTCCCCCTTCATCAGTCATTATATTGAGTCAAATAGTTGCTACAGAAACTGCGGTATAAGATTGAATGACTAGGCGGCTGACGACCAAAAAAATAATTTGTCAACCACGAACGCTTTGACGTTCATCCACTAGTAATTTCAGCAATCTTATTTCGAGTTCTCCAGTACCTGATTTTATGCGCATTCATCAGGTACAAGGGAAACAAGCCTGTGTAAGTATTCATTACCTTTTCAGAGGGCTCTCCTGGAATAAGTCAATCTTCAAATCTTGACCAGTTGAAGAGTGAGCATTGCGGTCGTGGCCTGAATGGCGACTCATCACGTTTATTCTTTCAGATCTAAAACTGTTCCCATCAAGCTCAGAGAAAATAAGAGGTAAAGTAGACTTCAATTAGCTGCAGGTTACTACGTACATCACTATGAAAAGAGTTCGTGAAATTTGGAGAAAGAGACAGATCTAAAGGTAGTCTTCCATTCTTCATGAAAGGCTCCTATGGTTAGATCTCACCAAACACTTTGAGGCGACGATCAATGTGGTTGGACTATCGAAGACCTACGGCACTTCAATTTTCAAGAAGCTTTTCGATTGCCAGTTTGGAAAGTTGAGCGAGAAGAAAGCTGTCGATGATCTTAATCTGAAAATGTACCATGGGCAGATCACGAAGAAAGAGAGCCTTACTAAGGAAACCTGGAGCCGGAAAAGCACGACATTGTCAGTTGCTGACAGTATGAAGATCAAATGTTCGCGTAAGCAATTGCGAACTTCCTCATCTGAGCACTATTTTCAGTGTTAACTCCACCGCATTACGGGCACCGCCTACATGAGACTATGATATTAGAACAAGTTTACCACAGGTCCGAAAACAAACCGGATTGTGCCCACAGTACAATATCCTTTTCAATTCGTTGACAGTCATGGAGCACCTGGAGTTCTTCTGCAAGCTGAAGGTGAATTTACCGACTAGCCCATGGTGTGATTCTTCATATTCAATTTGACTCCGGACACACCTTTCTTTCTGGGTGAAGCCCATACGCAGTGTCAATCGTTTTTTGTGATTCTGGAAATTCCTAAAATTCGGCCCTCGTCCTTGAGGGGAACCTCGATAAAACCCCTCACCACTATCACCAGAGCTTAGAAGAGTCCTTCAAAGCGCCATCTCTTCCCATCCCCATCCACCGCCCTCACCACCATGGCAGTTTCTATCGCATTTGATTCTAAGACCACTTGACACAGGTTCAAAATCCGCCCACTTTCCTTCCAAAACGGCCGTCGAACAAGCGGAGCTGGCAAGAATCTGATCAAAATACAAATCCTCATACTCCTCCACTTTTGCCTACCAAAAGTTATCCAGCTGAAACTAGGCGAAGCCTTGATCAAATCACCTCCTGCTCTCCCACTTTTGCCATCACCAACATCTAACACCGCCCCCTCCGCACTTCCGGAAAAACTCAACCATATACTCATTCTCTTGATACTTACGCCTCGCACGTAACCTGGTAGGATGTATGGTCATATCAGTGTATTTTAGGAAGGGCGTGTTTGACGAAATGTGAATTGTCTATGTGGCGCATACGAGAAAGAATGAATTCACGAGATCTAGGTAAGCCAACTGATGCTAATTATGCAAACTTTATCGTCTACAAGGCACGAGAATACTTCCGAGCAAAAAGAAGCCATCGACTCATCTACGACGGCATAAAGAATTGAAGTAAAAAATGCACCGACCTAGCAGCATGGCACTAACTATCGTGATACAGAAAACGAAAACTCTCGCTGGCCATCGCCCTTATTGGCGGGTCGAGGTGAACACTAAACGTTGAAATATCGTACTGTATCGAACTCTTCGTTTTCTAAATTCACTCTCAGTCTTGTTCTTCTCAACCATTAAGTATTCTCAAATTTCTCAAATTGCGGAAGGGTTTCTAGATAGTGATGCTGGACGAGCCAACATCCGGCATGGATCCTGGAGCACGTCATGAGACCTGGAGCTTTCTGCAAGACCGAGAAGACGACTGGACACATTCTGCAGACGACATTCTGCTGACGACGCATTTCATGGAGGAAGCGGATCTGCTCGGCGATAGGTGAAGCACAAATTCTGATTCTAGAGATTGTGCGCTTATCCCGACTTGTTTAGAATTGCCATTCTGGCTCATGGCCAACTCCAGTGTTGTGGATCAGGAATGTTTTTGAAGGCGCAGTACGGTAAGTCTCTCTCTTTATTTCATAGCGAAATTCCCCTCACTGTTGTAGATTTTTCGCTCCATTGTAATCCGAGGCAGGTCAGGGAATTCGAATCGCTTTCTGTCTTATAAAGTCCTATTTGACGATTCTTGTTTCCATTATACATTATGCAAATGATGCATTACGTAGAGGGCTTTCCGGCCCGAGGGCTATCGTTTAGAAGCACTGATCACGATGGGATGAGGGTGCTGCGGTTTTGATGCCGTAGTTGAATGTCATTGGTGGAAGGGTGTCAACAGGCGACCCCATCCACAACCCGTCCCCGCCCTTCCCACCCCATTCAAACCCACCATATTATGTGGAGAACGGGAAGAGGGTATTCTTCCGCTCACGCGGTAGCCGCAGACCTCAATTAGCTGCCAAATGTCAAGCTACAGTAATTTTGATAGGTCTCAAACATGCCAATATTGCAATCACCGTAATTCAGGGATCGGCTATCACTTGATCGTGGTCTACGAGAACTCGTCCATGTCCGATCGGCTGGTGACTCAAACTCTGGAACTTCTTTCACGTCACGTCAGCGATGTACGACTCCAGACATTTGTTGGTCAAGAGGCGACATTCATCATTTCGGCTAAATGCAAGGCACAGTAAGAGTTTTATGATTGCAGAAGCGTTTGCATGAGTAATTGGTTTTGGAGAAGTCTTGGCTAAATTAAGAATTCATGGAAAAGGTTGCAGATTCTCGTCAATGTTCGCGGACCTTGAAAAAGCTCAGAGCAGCTTAGGGATTTCATCTTACGGCATGTCCATTACCACAATGGAGGAAGTATTCCTAAAGTGAGCCTATAACTCCGTATAACTCGTTCGATCGCGAAGAAAGAATGCAGCCGAAGAACCCAAATGATCTTTCAGAGTGGGTGATCTAGCCAAGGAACGTTTCAATCGAGAGCAGGAAGAGGAGAGCGTGGAAACTACGGAGCTGGTTGATAATGACACATTTCTCAGACGTATGTTATTTTCCTTAGAGTTGTTCACACTCGGAGCCTAGGGTACAAAGGGCTCTCTCTATAAAATTCCTACGGTGCTACGATGGAATTCCTTGCGTTATTGCTCCTTTACCGCTACATTCACCCGCCTTCTTCATGTCTCATTCCATCGGGACTTTTCCTAGTTAAATCGGGATTGGAAGCGGGGGAGGTAGAGGAGGGTGAATGAGAGGAGACATCTATTGTAAAACCTCCCGAAAGTCTCTTCCTAACATCTTCCTATCATGAATCTAACTCCTCAGGTTTCCAAAAGTTTCTTAGAAGAAGGGGCAAGGAACGAGACGTAGGAGTGGCGGGAAAAAAGCAGGCATAATGACAAACACCTCCTGAATTCTTTGAAAATGCTCAAAAACCTTTCACACTCCTTCCAATGAAGGAGATTTCATTAACTAGGTGTTACATCCTATCACTCTCGCGGATGCATGATGAATCTAAAGTCACCTATTTGTTTACCTTGCCCTTTCATGTCCTACCATTTATACAGGCCTGATGTTTTGACTGCACTGCAAAAGCTCGCGTATAAACAGTCCAGCCAAACCAGTTTACGACATTCTTCTGCAGTAGAAGGTGATGGAAAGCCACATCAGCCAGATATCGCTATACGTCACACACTCAAAAATTCTGAATTCATCACCATTGACATGCTTCTACAGGTTTTCGCAGTCCTTATCTTTAATATACATGTTTTTGCAGTCAGCTGTCTCTGTTTCTTCAAAACCATTGAAAAGACAAATTATTTGCAGAGCTGAGGGTCGCAGAGCATGTCAAAGGTTTTCCTTACTACTGGCAACATGTTGAAGCAATGTTCATCAAACGCACGATCTTTTTCTATCGGAAATGGATAATGTTCGCCATGACCCTGTTCTTCCCGGTAAGTGTGAGGGGTTGTCGAATTTAACCCACAATTCATCATTATTGCACGCCACGCTAGGAACAATCAAAATGTATGCTGGGTTGTGAACAAAACTTTCGCCCAGACGGGACTCGAACCCGCACCTCTCGCTTTCCGGGCAAGTGCGCTACCAGTTACGCTACCGGGGCACCATTTCATAACTGGTAGCGTAACTGGTAGCGCACTTGCCCGGAAAGCGAGAGGTGCGGGTTCTAGTCCCGCCTGGGGCGAAAGTTTTGTTCACAACCCAGCATTCTTGTGAAACATTCGCAAGGCGAACTGCGGCCAAAAACAGCAGTTAACAAACAAAAACAAGTCAAAATCAAAATGTAGTTATAAGAAAGGTAAATTAGAGAGGCACGGACAATTGGCACAGGTAGCCAGTCCTTCTGTGCTGCTTCGCTTTCAATGCACCAAGCGATAGGAGCACTTACAATTAGAAGCATAAACCATTCTTTTGCGACAGTACAGGCATTGCTCCTGGCTGGCGACAAGATGATCAGCTGCTTCCAGCTCACTGCAAAATTCGTTTTCAAAATTATTCCACTAAGTTCATTTTGAATAGGTGACTTACAAGGAGGTCTTTCAGGACATGGAGCGCTTTTTCGAAATGGTTTTCTGCATGTTGTAGGGGCTCATGCGAGGAACACAGAACCATGATCCATTTTTCCTGAACGCCTCCAGGAATGTCAAAACATTGGTGAAGAAATGGTCCCGAAATTATGATTATGATTTATTATTTGGTGTAATTGCAACATTCCCGG